TAGGTGATAGGGCGATATACAATTATAATATTTTTATAATTATAAATATAATTAATTATAATATAATATCTACTCACTCTTGCCGTAAAAAGGCCAAGTTGTGATGGTGGAACTCACCTCATCTTGTGCTTTTTTCTTCCAGGCCTGGTACTCCATGGCGGCTTTCCTCATGCGGTCGAGGAAGGCTGGCCCGGCGCGACCCATCGCCCACGACATGACAGCGGTGGGGAGGCCACCCACTGCAGGTTCGTCGTAGTACGTCAGTACAAACTCCATGCCGTTCTGGTATAACGATAACGTTTTATAGTTTGTTTTTTTTTGAAGATGGAGTAAAATGACTACGTATTGTGGAAAAAGTTGCAGCTAGTGATTGCAGTCGATTAACATTCTGGCCTGGTGGTAAGCGACACGCCTATTCATAACAGTTGCAGTTTGCAGTGCCACTCAAAGCTTTAAATCGCAAAGATCTTAAGGACAGGTCCCATGTGCCTGTACTTCACCAGCACCCTTACCCTTCATAACCGGAACGCAGTAATGCTCACATTACTGCTTGGCGGCAGAAATAAGTAAGGTAGCAGGGGGCCTACCATAACCTTTCCAAAACAATCTTATTTCAATGTAATCTTATAGTAAGCTTATTATAATTTTACTCATATTCGTACCATGACAAACCTATCAACCAAGTAATGTATTATTGCTAAAGTGACTGAAAGAACGAATGATTTCCCAATATTGTCCATTCCTTACTAAAAATAGGAAAGAAATAACGGTATATAAACTATATAATGCGATCTCTTCTTTTTTGATGTTCCGAATCGTCTTGTCGTAATATAATGTTCAAGTACTTAATATTATTTACATTCAGAGAATTTTAACTGTTAAAAAAACAAAAGTACGTAATAATAAAATCTATTAAAATGACGTTGTTTTCAATATTTTTTTGCATTTTCATGAAGAAAAATAAATAAAACAAGCTGAGCCTTGATAGTCACGTTGTGAATTCGGAACTATAGTCTAGTGTCAACTGCTAGTTTCGCAAAGGAGCATATAGATGGCGCTGTCATGATTTTACGAAATGAACATCGCGTATTTTTATTTAACGAGAAATTATTTCCTATGTATCGAGTTCTTAGGTTTCCGCGATTGTTACACATAGGAAATGAAACTATTTTTCCGGATTTAAATCGCGTATATTTGTTTTTTCAAACAACCGTTTTGAGTCAACCGTGACCATGGGACCTGTAAAGATTCCGAAACGTCGGTTTGTTTGAAAAAACAAATATACGCGATTTAAATCCGGAAAAATAGTTTCATTTCCTATATTTCCTATGTGTTAAATAAATAAAAATAAAATAAAAAATAAACAAAATATTGAAGAGATATACGTAAATAAATAAGTTCAACTTAAGTTTTAATCATTACAAATCAATATCAAGACAATAAATAAAACTGAAAATAATATTGTTTCCGTTCCATCCGTGTAACTATTTTAAGATTGCTAAATTTGACATGTATAGATATAGAGCAATATTACTTTAATGTTAAAGACACGACATGGTACGAACTGAGCGAATGAATAGTCCAAAACTGCCAATAGAACGTCATAGTTTTAACATTATAATAAGCTTACTTAAAGCGCGTTATAGTACGAAAAGTCAATGTAAGGTTAAAGTAATATGGTTTTAAGAGGTTGTGGTAGGCTCCAGTACGTCTCTGGACGACCTCTTTCACAAGGAGCTCTACCGCTAGTAAGTCACTCAACTGCGCTGTAAGGCAATGCCGTGCCGGAGCGGTATAAGTGAGTGAAGACTTGAAGAAAGATTTGTACCTTGTTCGGGCCGTCGAGGGTTTTGATCACCATGTGGCTCCAATACTCGGACACTCGGATAGCACTGCCCATTGACGGCACCTGCAAAGTAGTATTACACTACTGGTAGTATTTTCTAAAGTCCAAGCTTCGGAATCATTACATTGTAAATTAATAAATAAAAAAATAAAAGTAAATTAATTTGCTACTCCGCGAACCCATTGGAGGTGATATAGATTTTTTTTTAAACATCAAATGACGGTACGAACAAGTCGTGCGCCTGATGGTGAGCTACACGCCTGTCTATAACAGTTGCAGTGCCACTCAGAGCTTAAAATCGCAAAGATCTGAGGGGCACTACCACTGCGCCCGTCACTCTGAGTAATAAGTTGACAAGTCCCATGTGCCTGTAATTTCACCAAAAAAATGACTGCGCTTATGTTGAATTTAGAAGCATAAAATTTATATATATATAATCTACAAATATAATCAACAACTCCTGAGCATGCCACGCTTTAGAGAAGCGAAACACATGGCGGGTATTTTTTATAATGGTGGTGTTCGTGACACAATAATCTCAGTACTAAAAAAACCGACTTCAAAAGTATGTGGAATTCCGTCTATTTGCCAAGTTTTATTGAAATATCCCCTAGTTCGCCACTATACGGGACTTGACACAGGTGATAATAAAAATCGGTTCTCACTACTCAAAGTATATTGAGAGAGAAAAATGCCTTGAATTGTAGAATAGCAAAATCAACCGTTAAAATAATTGCTCCTCATAATAAAATTTAGGCGCTATTTATAAAAATGAATCTTCATGCGTGAACAGCCACTCTTAGAGGTGGATGATTTTCTTCAAAATGAAATGGGACCACCATGGAGGTATCCTCTTTCCAACAAAAAAAGAATCATTAAAATCGGTTCATAAATACCGGAGCTATCACGTAACATACATACAAAAAAAACACACATTCCAATTGAGAACCTCCTCCTTTTTTTGAAGCCGGTTAAAAAATTAATAAATATCATGGTAGTAAACCATCATAATATTCGATACAATCAATATTTCAATTCATAAACACATCGACATCTATTGTCAACCTCCACTTGCTATAGGGACCTGGTCGAGTGAAGAAAATAGTTTCATAGTTTTAAGGCGGCGCTACGGCCAAAAAAGTCGCCATAACAAAAAAGAAAGATCTGTAACAAACGCATAGTAAAACTCCTAAGGTCTGATGACGGTATGGCACAGACGCCGGGGTCCGGAGCAATTACTGTCAAATAAGTGATACTAACTAGTAATAAATTAAAAGACGCAGGATGTGAATGAAGCTTCATAGTTGAGACAATCACTTTTGAAACTTTTAAGTTTATTGAATGTTACGACGTTTGACCACCATGATATTTCGTTATTTTTGTGAAACTACTCCACTAGTTTGTTATAATTATTAATACAAAGATCCAAGAATTAAGAAAAATTTCTTCGATCTGGCTGGATTCGAACCAACGTCTTCCAGCAAACCGTGCCAGACGCTACGCCAACTAAGCCAAGGAATGAACTAGCGGACCTTACGATTTTTTCTATGTACTCGGCCAGTTCTCATTTGACAGTAATTGGTTCGGACGGATGTCGGGACGGAAAACGGGTGTCATCGAGTATATAACCAGAAAAAGAGACGAAATAAGGGCCATCCATCCCTGCCAACTCATCAGGCAATGGGCCTTATATCACTTTTAAATATGTCGGTTGCGCTGAAATCACAAATTAGAAAACTGAAATAGTATAGCGCCAACAACTGACTTGTGTGTACGTCTCCGTATATTCTAAAAATGTTCTGTATTTATTGTAATAAAGATAATATCTTTAACAATGGCGTGCTGTTCTATTCGGTGGTGTGGAAAAAACAGCAAAACATCTAATTACAAAACAAACGGAATCACATTTCATCGGTAATGAAACATGTAATTTTTCCATTTTCGTCCATTATAGCAAAGCTAAAGTTAATCGGTCGATTTGAAGTGAAAACAATTGACGACACCCGTCAACTGTTTCTAATTCGGGCTGGCCAATGGGAGCGCAGTTGTCACCGTAATGATTTGGCAGAATAGTTTTCAAACAAATTAAATGACATTTCGTCTATATTTCTGGTTATATACTCGATGACGGGAGTAGACTCAGGCTGTCAGAACGAAAGAATTTTTCTTTTTGTTCCATCTTTGTAATATATTAATAAATAATACCTGTGGATGTTTACAGCTCCTCGAAACAATAACATAGACCCTGTTCTCATGTTCATTTGGTTGATTTGGTCGCTTTGGCTCTTCACTCGCTTTCGCTTGCGCTTGTGACCGTTGCCGCTGTGCTGGGTCCAATTTCCCGACTACTTCTTGTGACTTCCGCTCTGCTTCTAGGAACTTCCGCTCTGCTTCTTGGGTTTTCCGTTCTGCTTCTTGGTACTTGCGCTCTGCTTCTTGGGACTTCCGCTCTGCTTCTTGGTACTTCCGCTCTGCTTCTAGGAACTTCCGTTCTGCTTCCTGCGATTTCCGTTTCGCCGGGGAGTGGACGCATTCACGTTCGCATTGATATTCGCATGGATTTTCGGCAGCAACAGGTACTATTGGTAATGAGAATTTCAGAGATGCAGTGGTAATATTGGTTATACTATTGGTTACTGGTAACTTTCAGAGATAGTTTCGTTAAGGCCCATTTAAATGGAGTGTTCCTCGTCTCGAATGAGCGATAATCGCCTCGCCTTTGAATACTGAACGTCTCCGTGTAAACAGAACTTGAAAGCAAAAATCGTATTTCGAGTTTTTGTGCCAGCCGTTTCTACCAAGAGTGCAGTGCGTGAGGGTGTTTTGATTATCACTGCTTTTCTAAGACAATAACTAATGAAACGAGAGCGAAAAAAATTTTGGGTTAAGAAATGTTATAAAATTTATAAAAAAAAAATTATAAAAAAATGTATATTTCTATACAGTGATGATACAGTGGAATGAACTTAATCAGCAGTTAAAATTTTGAATGATTTTTGCGTCATTTTGATATATCCATAGTCAATACCGCAGTAATCACTTGACTCGAATGGCAATTCTCGCACTCAAAACGGTTCGAACAGATTTGTACGATAATCGTATGAACTTGAAAAAATGTCATACGAAATGATGTTTAGACAAGTTGAAAACTCACAAGCAAGAATCTCCTTCGATCCGATGTCTACTAGCTTACCGGTCCAGACGCTATACCAACTAAGCCACGGAACGAACCAGCGGACCTCACGAATTTTTCTATGTGCCTGCGCCGTATCTTTGTATTTGGTTTTTTCAACGACTTCAACGTCGTAGCGCCATCTATGAGAAATCTATGAATGTTTTATCACCCAGTTAGATATCTTTGCAGTTACCAGTCCTGGCGAGAGATGGCGCTATTCAATGTATTTTACATTTTTATTGAATTGATATTCAATTATTTTTTGCAAGCACATAAAAAAATTCGTGAGGTCCGATGGTTCGTTCCGTGGCTTAGTTGGTATAGCGTCTGTCACAGTAAGCTAGAAGACTTTTTTTTTGAAAATTTTTTTCTGAGTATTCGATCTTTGTATTAATAATTATAACAAACTAGTGGAATAACTTCACAAAAAAAAAAATAATATCAATTCAATAAAAATTTAAGAATCTCCTTACTACATATTTCTCTGTGTAAATAGTCGAGGAGGCGATTATGTTGCCTGCGAATCTCGTATGACATAATCGTAGTCGAGATTTTAGCTCTTGCCTGAATGTAAATATTATGATACGATAATCTTATGGCGATTATTGCTTACGATAATCACGTACGATTTTTCGTCACGAAGCGTGCGATAAACTCTCTCCATCTAAATGGGCTTTTAATGAAAATGTCATAGACACACACACACAGTGATACTATGTTTAATGTAACGTTCAGAGATGCAGGGGTACTATTGTTAATGAAAATTTCATAGATGCAGTGATACTACTGTTTACGAAAGTTTTAGAGATACAGGAGGTGAAACGGACAAGTAACCTGTGGAAACGGTGGCGCTGTTAGGAATATTCGGGTTGTTAGTAGTAGAAATAAGTTTATTTATGTATTAAAGGCCACCTAATGGCATAACTTAGTATTATATGGCATACAATTCGACAAAGAAACCGCATATATACTTTCCCAATACCAGGGAAATGTCTTTAATATCGCAAACACGTTGCCAGCCAATTATCGACCTTAATTTCACCTGTTGCTGTGACTGCACGGGCTTTCACCATTCTTCAACCCGGAACACAGCAAGTAATATCGTTCGTTCATAACAGGAAGAATGTTGGGCACGTCAGTCGTTCGTATCAGAAAGAACGTCGGGGACATCGGTCGACCATAGCAAGAATGTCCAACAAATCAGTCGTCCGTAAAAGTAAGAACGTCAGGCACGTTAGTCGTCCATATCAGTAAGAACGTCTGTCGTCCGTAACAGTAAGAACATCGGGCACGTAATTCGGCCGTATCAGTAAGAACGTCGGGAACGTCTGTCGTCCGTAACATAAGAATGTCACACACGTCTCTCGTCGGTAATAGTAAGAATGTCAGACACGTCAGTCGTCCGTAAAAGTAAGAATGTTGGGCACGTCTGTCGTTCACACCAGTAAGATCGTGGGGAACGTCTGTCGCCCGTAAAAGTAAGAACGACGAGCACATGTGTCGTTCGTATCAGTAAG